GTATAGAGAATCGCTCACAACAAGCTCTGGCGCAGCGTAGCAGGGACTGCCGCAACTTGTCTGCATCAAATCGCCCTTCCTTGTGCCATTGGTCTTGACTCTATCCAGTCCCAATTTCTTGACAAAGTCACGGTCGCTGAGATTGAGTTCCTCCTCTTCAGAAAGCTCTTCCTCGGCATCGAAGGTGTTGGCGAAGCCAAAATCGGTGATGATTATGTTGCGATTCCGGTCCAAAAGCAGATTCTCCAACTTGAGATCTCTGTGAACGATGCCTTTCTTGTGCAAGTAGCCGACACCAGAAACTAGCTGGGCGAACAGCCTTCGCGCGGCATTATCCTTCAGGTAGCGATGGTTCAGAATGTAGTCGAATAGCTCACCACCAGAGGCATATTCAAGAATGATACCAATGTGCCTCTCGGTCTCGACCATCTCGTGGAGGCGGACGATATTAGGGTGAGAAATGCCCCGGAGGATAGCAATTTCGCGATAAATCTTGGCCAATCTGGAGGGGTTGTTGCCGACACTATCCCGCTTGATCAACTTGATAGCGACCTGTTGATGAACTGTAAGCAATAATCTCAAAGTATCTCGATGGGTGAGCAACTTACTTGCACATTGTTATCGTTCTTCCAGCCGAGCTTTACTTTTCCGAACTCGCCCTCGCCGATGGTATTTCCAAGAACGTAGTCGCCGAACCTGACCACCTTCTCACGCTTCCCGGAGTGATCATGCCGGCTTCTGCCGCCACGTCTGCCATCATCATGCTCGGACATGCCGACAATTGGGGGAGGTGCGGCGTCATCATGTGAGGATCCTATGCGAGTTGACTGAGCTTCTGCCAGTCGCTCCTTTTCGCGGGCGATGTCTACTTCAGGCTGAGAGACCACCATTCGGTTGAGAACCTCGCTTGCTTCGCGCGAGGGCTGCTTGGGTGATGCTGTTGTTGTCTGGGGAGGTGCATGTGATCGTACGGGGATCACCGTCGGTTGGCTCCCAGGACGGTTGCCGCTCGATCGATGGGGAGAGTCAGGAGGCATTTGTTGATGCGATCTTCGGCTGCGTGAAGCAGCACCGTCGTCGGGGTAGGTATAATCGACATTACCATTCGTTCCATCTGCTTGACCGCGTCGCGGTGACGATGCCGCCTTGTCGGCAGCGTGATCGCGTCTTTTCGTGGTAGTCGTAGTGGTAGTAGCGCCCGAGTAATTCGTCGAGGACGTTCGAGGGGGGGCAACGGGAGGCATGTTTCTGCGTTGTTCGGAAGATGAGGATTGGTAGTCTGGGGAAGAGGGCGCGACGGCGACGGGGCTGGCGGGGACAACTCGGGACGTCATGGGCGAAGTCGGGTCCTGAGTGTTTACAGACGCGCCGTTTCCGCTCGGTCGACTCGTGGGGCGTTGTGACGATGCAGGAGAGGCAAAGTTGTTTTGCAGATTGGCATTGTACGCCTCGCGAGATGGGGAAGAGTGATTCGACGTGTACTGCCGGCTGCTCGGTGAGGCTGCGACCAAAGGCGGTGATGCCAGAGCTGTTGTGTGAAGGGCAGGCTGCAAAGCGGCCGAGGACATGCTTTTGCGACAGTGGAAACGCAAGCGCGCAAGGAAATGGAGTTCGACTGGGCGGCGGTCCTAGTCTGGTGTGTTTTGGTCCCGCGATTGTCGCTAAGATGTCGGTCTGCGATGTTGGTGCGTTTTGGAAGGGGTCAAGGGAGGCTGGTATGTTGGCGGAGAATTGAGAAGCGAGGAAGAGGCCCGTAAGCGAATGCTGTTCAGCGAGGTAGAGTTGCTCGCTGGGCGCCAGGTTTCAGGACGCTGGAATTATTGAGCTGCAGGAATTAATTCGGCCTGAATTGGTATGGGACGGACGAGCCCGATTGGAGGTATTAGGGTCCTTGGATAGGTCGTGGTGTGAGAGTCTGCTGTGCCAATGAATTGGGCCAGTCTATCTCATGGTGTGGGCGGAAGGGGTCGATTGTTTTTTTTTCCCCCTTGGGCTGAGGGCTGCGATGTATTGTTTACTGTAGCTTGACCCTGACGAAATGTATCGGCGACGATCGTTTTGGACGGTAAAGTCGAGTCGAGTCAATGCAGCAACAACACTGGGAACAGTGACGCGACAAAGGGGCAGTGGTGCAAGTACACGCTCTGCTGTGAAAGGCTGTGCGACGGATTGATACCTATGGCTTTGAACCTATGCCCTTGTCTTTTCTGGCTTGTCCTTTGACACCGTCTGAGACCAGACGGGGGGTGCAGACAGGAGGAGGAATGGGCGGTAGAGAAAAACAGTTCCAGTCGTGTGTGTGTGTGTGTGTGTGTGTCGGTGAGGTGACCCTAGTCGAGGATGAAGAGGCAGGCTGGATGCAGTATGGCGGTCGGAGCCCAGTATGTTGTAATTGGAACCAATTCCCTTTACCGAACCACTGAGGGCTTATCTGGTCTGGCTTCGAACGATCAGAGGAGCTATCGCCAGCAGGTCGAGGAGACCGAGACGATAATGATTGCGGGAGGCCCGAGTCTGATTGTAGGCTTTTTTTTTTTTTTTGTCGACGGTTGAAGTTGTCGATGGCGCGCTTCTCTGCTTTGGCGGGCTCGAGACTAGCGGCAGACTATCGGAGCGAGTTGGATCGCCGGTCAGAAAAACAATACCAGTGACTGACAACGCAGACCAAACGGGGTCGTTGGTGCAGCGAATTCAGGTACAAGCGGGATGAGGTAATGCGCGGTGAGTGCCCAAGTTGGACTTTTGGAGCGAGAGGCGGTGGGAGTCGAGATGTGGAGGGCGAACCAGTCCAGAATGAGAGAAGAGAGACAGGCGGGATCGGGAATGGGCCTCGTCTTGGCTTTTGGGCGAGGGAGAGAGAGAAGAGGAGTGAGAGGGTTAGGAAGAACGAACGGTCAGACGCTCTCGTGCTCGTCAGAATAAACTTGAAGAGATGAGGCTTGGGACGAGCTGGAGCGAGAGGCCGAGTGAATGCGCCCGATATTTGGAACAGCGCAGCTGCGGGAGCGCAAGGAACAGACAGCCCAAAGGTCGTCAGTCAGTTAGTCGGTCTCGAAAAGAGAGGAGAGACGTCAAGAGATTGGGTGTGAGCGGGCGGCGGGCGCGAGAGAGACGCAGAGAGACAGAGCCAGCAGCAAAGGCAGGCCGCAGACTCAGAGAGAGTGAGAGAAAGCGCGCGATTGAAGCGATTCCTGGTCGAATCCAAGGTAGGTCCCCGGGGGTATCGTGTACTTGCAGGGGTGAGGTGCAATGCAACTTGTAAGTACCGCCCAAAGAAAGTGAAGGCGGAGATGTGCGTGGGCCTCAGGGGGGAAAAGCGGGAAAAAGGGAGCAGGTGCGGTACATGCAACTAGGGACGGAATGCAGGTACCAGATACTCGCTAATATCCACTAACGCTGCCGCTACTGCGACTGCGACATGCAACCGCGACTGATTGCTTTGCTTTCGTGCCTAGGTGCTTCGTCTGTTTCGTTCTCTGTGCTTTGAACGAGGTTGCTGCCAAGTCTATGACACTCACTGCTGCACACTGCAAGTGGAAGGAGAGAGGCGCAGGTGTCAGAGTCGCGACGTAATTAGCTGATAGCGCTGCTCTCGCGGGCTGCATGTGTGAGGTGAGGTCGAGGCAAGGCGAGGTAGGATTTCGTCGAGCTGGATTGAGCCGAACCGAGAGAAGGAAAGCAGCACTGTATCCGTACGTAGAGAAAAGGTCTGCCTTAGTTTCCTGTTCCGCCTCAACTGAGTGGATGACCGTGACCACCCGACGTAGACTGGACCGTATTGATCGTAGCAAGAAGAGGCGAGGAGATGCCGTCTCGTTAAATTATCTCACTTGCGGCTGTCCAAGCACCACCAATTTTTCAGAGGGCCGGCGCGGACTGTGGCCAGTGGGCAATTTGTCGTTTCTTTTCTCCCTTGGAGGAGACGAGGGGGGGCCCTTTCCGATCCAGCTTGGTCTTTTCCTTGGTTCCGTGAATTTTTCTCGGCCGGCCTGTGTTGCTGGCAGGCGGCAGCTGGCCCGAGAGTACCTTAGGTAGGTAAGGTAGGTATTCGTCCCCAATAATCTCCTCAATGCAGCGGCGTCGGGATGGACTGATGTTCCCTTTCGTATTCAACCTTGGTTATCAAGTAACAAGATGAAGTTGACGTGCGGGGCTCAGATGAGAGGATCAAGACCTGAACTGCGTGATTGCCTAGGTATGCCTACGGAGTAGTGCCTAGTGCAACAAACTTGTACTCCGTAATCGAACAATAAATTATCTTCCACCCAGTGTGACACCTGGCGTAGACGGGTAGGTATGCTTCGAATTGGCGTGTCTGAGCTGATGTCTCAGCCTAGAGCAGCGCAGAAGCCTGTGTAAGTCGAGAGGAGGCTTTGAGCTTCTGTGTAAGACGCGGAAGCAGGAGGGCGTTGCACAAGAGCCGAAACGTGGGTGTGGGCGGGTGTGGCTAGTGCGGATGCTGGTGCTAAGAGCTTGCACCGGCGCGGTTTCTGATATTTGCCGCTGGTGATTGGTCTTTTAATTACTCGTACACGTGAATGTGGAAGGGAGTGGCTGGAATTCGATATCAACCAGCTTGAGGCCCAATGCCAAATTTGAGATGACACAAACAGCTGATTGTTGACCAGAGGAGACGGGAATGAGGAGAGGAAGCGAGCAAGACACTCGGATGGGACGGGAAGAGGAAGAAAGGGAGCAGGCGATGCAATTGGAAGGCACGTCAACCTGAGAGAGAAGTTCCTACTATTGGAAGGCAAGGCAGGTACGGAGGAGACGGAGACGGGTGGCGGCGGAAGAGAAGGAACGAAAGATGCATGCGCCATCCAAGATAGGTACCTTGAGGTAGGTACGGATAGTCAGAAGGTCCAACCCGAATATATTGCACACCTGCCACCCGTCGTCTATTAAATCATTCTTTTCTTCCCGCGATCTAAGCATCCAAGGTACCTGCCTCTTTCAATTGCTTCACTTGTCTAAGGTACCTTTAGGTAGGTACCTACCTCTACGGACGGATACACTCTCGCTTTGCTCGTCAACGTTCCATTTTCTTCTAAACATCCTCTCGCTATTTCGCATTCTACTATACGAAGTACATGAACGTTCTCCCGTCTCCAGGATACAAATCTCCGCCTCTAGCTACTCTAGCTTCTCCTGCACGCTGGGATCTGCCCTCGGCCTGGCAATTGACGTGACACCCGAACCCGACTTCACCTGAAGCTCGAGCTCTCCTTCTCGACAGCCCAGACGTTCTTTTGCAAGGAATCTAGCCAGCATGAGCACAACGGCAGGTGGCGCCGCAGCGGACTCTCGGTGCAACTGGCTAATTGGCCCATTGGGTTCGTACGGATAGATCAAGCCGGCATCAAGCCTCCAACTCGCGTCCCACTTCGTTCGAGAAGACTGAAGGTTCCCGCTTCGCACGCTCCGGCAAGATGGCAACACTCCAGCTTCATGCCCAACCCCATGTGCTTCGTCTTTTGAGATGGGATGACCCCTCGACAAGGGTTACCGCGGATCATGCAGCCCATCTACGAATATCTGCCCGCTATGAGTGTGAGTTCACGTCTTTTCTTTCTGTCTCTTATACCGAGTATTACTCTCCAACCAGATGACTGAGTGTGCGCCTAGTTTGGAAAGGTCAACATGGGAACCGAACAGCAGTTCGCCGTCCGAAAGCAGGTTGGCTGCTGGCCTTCAGTTCCAATCTCGACGCCATCCACGGCTCATCGCCTGCGGGGCGACATGCGATGCATGGCGATGCATGGTGCCGAGCGTCGTTGGCGTCGCCAGCAGTGGGACGCAGATGCAGCTTTTTCTACGATTCGTGTCTAGCATCAATCACTCACCAATCACTCGTCCATATGTATATGCCTCTACGACCGAACCGCATTGAGGGCATCTGCCCTTTCCTTATGCAGCAGTCAACCGCAGAAGCTACAGAGTCGCATCACGATTTACCTTTGCGTTTAGTCGGCCACCGTCAAACGAAACACCTCATACCCCTGCTGGTGGGCTGGGTGTCCAGGCGATAAAGACCGGGGTATCGACATGGTTCAGGGGTCATGTCGTTCTGACTTGTCATCATCACCAGGACCAGCTGCTGCCGCACCAGTGCCCAAACCGGTCGACTGTCCTGATCCTCCCGCAGAGGTTTGGATTTCGTCCGATTCCATCCCATCCTCCGTGTCCATCGTTGACCAAGAGTTGTAGCTTGTTGCATCTCCAGTCAGTCAACTATGCCATGTTCTGCCTCGTGCATTTTGGTGTAACGCGGCTCTATTCGACATCTTTTGCAAAGACAGGATCGTCCTGTCACCCAAGAGTTGCGGCACAATTGCAGACGGCTGCTAGTTTACGCGCTTGAGAGACCGCAGCGAGGTCCCTTGCATTGACGTGGCAGACTGCATTTCTCCAAATTACCGTCCAAAACCTGACTGGTTGGTGGGCAATGTCTGCGAGACTGGACTGTCGAGTTCCCCTCGCTCCTCAAACGACGGATCGCGTGTTTGCGCATCGCATGTCATTTGGCAGCAGCACTCTCCTCCCCACACATCCATCCTAATGTCGCCGTCCCCATCGCCTTCGCATTTTGCCATATCCCCAAGGTTTATGCGCACCAAGCGGTTGGATCTGATGGCGCATGGTTCAAAGACGACTCGAGGTTTACTTATCCACGAGGTTACCCGATTGTCGCGCAGCATCCCTTGCCTTAACGAAGTTACCTTCATCTTATTACTTGGATGGCTCGCTCGGCGGCTATCCTTAGCCACCGTCAATGCAAGGTACGCAAATATTCGATTCTACTCCGTACCTTATTCCACCAAGCTTCTGGGTCTTCATGCTTCACTCTCCAGCCAACTCACCCTTGCCATCAATTCGCTCCATCTTGATTCGCATGTCTCATTATAATCAATTATCACTGACCTTCTACCTGTACTCCGTACAGCCGTCCCACACTCGTGGATGGAATTCCGTCCTACGGGCCCCATAGGCTCCATGATACTTCAAGATATTCGCTTGTCTTTGTCTTTTGGAAGATCTACCCCGTACGACTGTTCGCGGCAGATCCATGTCCTATGCGAGCCATTAATAATCTTCCATGGAGGTAAACAGCATTTTGAGATTCTGCTGATTGGTTGCAGTCCACCATACCGCACAAAGCCCGACCGTTTGCTCAGCTTATCAAGCAAGATACAGAGCTGACTGAGCCGATTTGCATTGACCATGCTCTCCGAGCAAGAGCAATACCGACATTCAAGGCGAGCATCGTTTGCCAAGTTCTTCTGGAGGCGGCACTGGTTTGTCTGATCATTGCGAACTTACGAAGACGACCAAAGTCGTGTCCACCATTCAGCCAGCATTAACATCGGAGATGAGGCGCACGGCGCTTGACCGGGGTCTGCCTGCGTCAGCCGAAAGAGAATCTGTCCGTCATGAGCAGGCTGAACTTTTTGAACTTCTGAACACAGCTCAAAATGCCCCCCGGTTCGACTTGCCAATTGAGTGGATTCAGGGCTGGCCGCAAGTCATGTCACTTGGCACCGTGGCACCTTAAGATTTGCGTTCCCCAAAAGCACTTTCGCATCCTGAAAAATGCACGTGCTGATGGGGAGGAGGGGCTTGTCAAATATCGGCCAACTTCTTTTCTTTTCTTGAAGTTTGACTGCCCAAAGACCCCCTCTCGGTCAGGTCTTTCCGAATGTCCCCCATGGCTATACATCAGGTCAACTAATCCAGATTGTCATTCGTCTCCCCCCGGTTCTGGAGCAAGCGAGCTGCCCCATCAAGATGATCAGCCCGGGACAGCCCAGCCAGACTCGGCACTTGGGCCATAATCCCACAGTACACTATCCGTACATAGATGTGTTGTCCAGTGACATCATGCCGGTTCTCTTGCAGACGATGACAGCCCTGGCGAGCCATCGTCGTGTACGGATACAGTCGAAAACCAGGCGAACGTACTTCCCCGATCTATACAGAGTTCAACCGCCACAATTGTCCCAGAAACGGATTAATCGACGGCGAAGGATAATTATCTTTGGTCGTACACGAGAGCAGAGAGCAACGAAGATGCTGATTACGGCCACATCATGGATGACCTCCAGCGACGATTCCACGGACCACAGTACGGATAGACGAGGACGAGCCCACTCATCAGAGGCCCGGAAATTCGCGAAAAGGCGCGACGCGTCTTCATTGCAATTCCACATAACCCAGTTCCGATTCCCCATCTTCAAATAACCCATTACCCAACTTCAACTTGGGCCATGCGGCCCAATGAGGCAAATCCACAATCCCCCCCCCCCCCCCAAAGACCACAGGGGCGACCCCGGCAAGTTCGAGCAAACACGTTGACGAACCACCCGTATCCGGACATCGGATTCCTGTCCGGGGATCTTTCGTGTCGACCCAAATGTGTGTTCCGCAGGACCGTACGTGTGTATCCGTAGGGTCCGTAGGTCATAAGTCGGCAGAGGGGAAAGCAACCCACCTTCGAAAATAAGTCCACGCGTTCGACTATGCGAAAGTTGCGTTGGTCGGTATGCGGGAATGCTATCCAAATGGGATTCCCGGCGATCTCGAACCAACCAACCCGGGGACCTGGGCCAAGTTTTTTGGTCTCCCATTTCGTTGTTCGATTTTTACCTGTTTGCCTTGCCTAGCTCAGAGCCAGTCAGCCCTGTTCTATCCAGTGATTCCAGTCTGAGCTCACCGAGTATTCTAGAAGATTTCCAAAGAAAAACCCGGCGGTGTGGATCGAGGGACAAACCCGTCAATGCAAGGGAGCCGCACGCCCGGCCACCGCATTCTTTGAGGGAATGAGAAGAGAGATGCCCAAGTCACACCTAACCGCGGGTTGTGGAAAAAAGCTTTGTCCAGACCGCATTTGCCAAGTTGCGAGCAACCTTGAAGCTTTGTCCACGCCGTGGTGATGGCTTTCTCTCTCTTGCTGGCAGTGTGATTTTTGCTGTCGTACCACCGGAATGCAGGATGATTTGTCAAATTCATCATCCTCGGGAAAGAGTTCCATGTAGGAACCCCTTTGATGTCAGATCGTAATCAGTCAGCTGACTGTCTGCGGTTTTCCGGTGGCTCCGTCATAGTAGACCATGTTTTCCGGGGTTGTCGGGCTGCTGAGGCTATTGTCAGCAACTGACGCCTGTCTCTATGGAAGTTGATCAGACGCTTCGCGGCCCGGCCATTCTCGAAGCGACATGCCGAATCCGAATAGACGTCGGTATAGTGCCTCATTGAGATACTTCCAGCCGTCCTTCTGTGCCAGTATCACATGGTGGGTGAGATGTTTGTAGCCGTGTAACTCAAATTTTATTTCGACATCTATAACTTGATGGAGATATTGTACGCGTCCAGTCCGAGAGCGATGCCTGTGATTGTTCCGCTGTATGCAACCAAGATACCCATTGTTGCCATGGGTCCAAGATGCAGTGTCGGCACAGTCATGTTGACCAGTCCCGTCAAGACATTTGCGATGAGGAAGAGGAATAAGCTGTTGCGGTTGTAGACGCGGAACACCTTGCTGGTCGCAGTCTCATACGCCTCCTTCTCCGTCCTCGCGTCAGTCGCATTATAGAAGGATGGGAAGAAGAAAGTGTCCACTAGGGCGTATGCTAGAAGTTGTGTCGAGTTGAACGCCGCGGTCCACAGGACATAGGGGAGGTTAGCGAGACGGCGTGAGACGTTCAGACCGTCGCCGTAGCTGCTGCTGGTACTCAGGAAGTATAGCCCTGTCCACACAGCAGACCATATGGCCATCATCATGAGGAGTGTCTTGCGCTGAGTAGCAGGAGTGGAATCGCCCTTGGTGCTGAGACTCCGAGGCAGGACGTACATTCCTGTATCCTGTCCCGCAAGGAAGATGGCCAGGTAGCCGAAGAAGCTGAAGATACCTTCTCGATTCTTTGAGAATAGGTCGGTCCTCGGCGCAGTTAGGATGTAAGCCTTCAGGTCGGTGCTCTCCAGAGCCACCTGATACAGCACACTCAGGATGATTGCAAGAGCGGCGTAGCTAGGCACAATCTTGAGCGCAGACTGGAAGATGGCAACAAACGGCGGCAGGAAGCCCAGAGTGAAGAAGAAGTTCCAGTGAACGCCATACTCGGTGACATGTTCGGCGTAGTCAAGACCCTTGACACTGAGCAAGCGAATGACGCCCAGCACGAGCAGCGGTAAGGAGTGGCGCATCGACTGGAGTAGACGTGTCGTCAGGAGTATCGATCGACCTTCCGCCCGCTCTTTCAGGACGGGCCGAGCAGCGACAACGCCGGCGCTGAAGACGAATGACCCGACGCCCATGTCCATCAGCGATGTTCCCCATGTCTCAACCTTGGCGAAGCGGCGCGGAAAGAGTTGGAAGTCGACGGCGAGGATGGCGATGCAAGTGATGACCATCATGCTACCCCGGTAGTGTGTTAGGAAAGGCTTCACGGGCAGCACGGAGAGCGGTCCGGCGCCGGAGCCGGCCTTGGGCTTCGCATTGGGGGGTATAGCGAGCTTCTTGCGACTGGCGCCGAAGTTGGGAGGCAGCGTGTAGATGAGGACGGCGGGACCGAGGAGGAGGGCGCAGAGTAGCAAGGGAGATGAGGCGTAGAGGGTCGTGGATAGGAGGATGGCAGTGACGTTGAGGAGGAAGTCGACGGCAGCTCCCAACAGCGTGTAGGGTTTGAAGAAGGATTGGCGTGATTGGAGTACGGACCACAGCAGGACGGCGACCTGGAAAGGAATGCGAATGTCAGCACGTTGCTTTATCTCGATGCATGCGCTGCGCGGGGGCGCGTGGGATGTGAAGGGGGGGTGTCCAGCAGCAGCAGCAACAGGGGATCAGGGGATCACGGGATCAGGATGGCAGATCAGAGTTTTTGTTCAAAGAAGATGGTTACGCACGGGAGCGACTGCAGTCACATAGTTGATTTCGGAGGCGGAGCCACCAGAGAGGTTGGAGACAAAGTCTTCCTTGAGCTTCTTGTAGCTCGCGGCCGTAGCGTCGGACATGTTTGCGATGGCTCGAAAGAGAGTTTGGGTTCTTGGTTTCTGGGAGAAACAAGGAATGTGGAAGATGTTCAATGCATGTTCTAAGAGAAGGGAATGCTTTTGAAGACGGCGAGCATTGCTTTTGCCCGGTTCAGTGAAAAGAACAAGCTGTTCGTTGTTGCTCTTTTGGCGATGTGGTTTTTGACCGGTAACTGCAACGTCAACCTTTCTTGGACGTTCTTTCTCTGTCTCTCCACCACAGAGGAAAGACGAGACGAACTCTGGCCAGAAAGAGCAGCAGCAGCTTGGAAGGAAAGTGGTCCAAGCTCCTTCGTTCCAGATGACACAGGCATCTCTAGGTACGTACCTACCTTAGTAAGGCAAAGCTGGTACGGAGAAAGGTAAGGCCAATCATCAGCTCCTTCCGCAGCAGCACCGTGTGGGTCTTGGTCCGATGGCTTCGGAGGCACGGAGAAGAAGGAAGGGGGCTTACGGCATACCTGACGCAGAAATCCTCCGTGCCTTCCGCCGTCAAAGGAAAGCTCGGGGGACGGGGCAAGCTTTGGGAAGGCCAAGCTCAGCCGAAGGCAGACACGTCACAAACATGGGCATTCCAGGAGCTTGCTCCGAGGCATCTTTACCTTGTTCCTTTCACTCGGTCCAGATATTCCTGGCGTTGTTGTTGCTGTTATTACTGTTGCTGTCTCATCCCTCCATGTCTCCCACGCATACGACGCATTCCACGCATCCATCCATCCATCCGCGCAAATCAACCAACCAAACACCTGAATCTTTTGTCTCACCTCTCATCGGGTTGTCAGCTCCCTTTTCGCCTCCCCCCTCCGCCTTTCCAGTCTTTCCAACCCATCACAAATTGAGATCTGAGATCCCAATTGCTGCCTGTCATCGTCTAGTTCCACCGTTTCCCACTTTTCGCCATCACGGCCGCAACCATTCCCCGCCGTGCCAAACATCCAAGACATACCGACGCCGTTGATGTTCCAACTCCACACTTTCCAGCTTCGCCCCCGGCCTCACTGCGGCATTCATCCAAAGACAGCTAGCTCTACATGGAGAAAGATAGGTACCCTTTGGTCTGCAGACAGAGCTACAGAGTACACATCCGTGCAGTCTTGAAAACTTATTTACAGCTACATGGCCAGATGCAGCTAGGTACGCCAAGTTCGATTGGTGCGAGTGCGAGTAGAAGTGGAAGTGGAAGTGGAAGTGGAAGTGCAGGCGCAACTCCCAACCCAGTCACCGCACACCCCTCAGCTCTCAACTGTTGGTTGCAGTCTTTCTGCTGCTGCTCTGGCTGCTAAATCAAGTCTCAACCCCGGACCGAAGCTCTGAAATGGCCGTCTACCAAGAGAGAATGCGAGGCGGGCAGAGCAATAGAAACTGCTTCTATGCGTCGAAGCCAACAACCTTCACCCCCAGGCCTCAAGGTGGCAGGAAAAGATGCACAGTAAGCCAATAATATGGCCAGAAACATGACGAATCAAGGCCCAGACAAGCCACATTCCTTTGTTCTTCTCTGTGGCCATCTGCAGACGTTCAATCTCAAGCCTGCCATGTCCCCATGGGTTTGCTTCCGACAACCCAACCCGCACGCCTGCTAGCTCATCTCCTTTGTTCTCATATGCAATGAGTGACATGGGCATGGCTGTTGGCCGCAACCGCTCATTGTCGCTTCATGCTTGACGACCGCATTCCTCGTTACACTCCCACCGGGGCTTGCAGGCCCAAAGCAAAGACTGTAGCCGCCTTCTGTCCACACCCTTTCTCTGTCAGTGACAGTCTCTCAGTCTCTTCTTCTTTGCACCTTGCCTGTCTTTCTTGTCTTCTTTGAGAGAGCCCTACCGTGTCTACCAGTCCTTTCATTTCCTGATCCCGGCAGTTGCTGCAAGTGCCCTTTCTCTCTTTTGGCACCTAAAGAAACTGGTGGGCGAAGTCCAAGACTTGCAGACAGACTCACAAGGTCTTCCGCAAAGATATTAATTAACCCTCTTCGTCCCTCCACCCACCCCAGACATAAGAGAAGCTCTCCTCCCTTGATCCATCCCTACAGGGCTGCATAATCTTGACTCTATCACCGCCATCCCATCATCTCGGTTGCACATTCCGATCTTTGGGTCCATTCACTGTTACTCAAAAACCCTGACTTGATCCCTCACTTCTTCCATCACCACTTGATATATCCTATAAGGCATTCACCTCTCTCACTATCAAAAAGCATCATGGCTACCCCGATTGAGAGTCACCCTCGTACTAGCCTTCACCCATTATGGACACCTTCATATAATCAAGGCGGATTCCCT